CTGGTAGTCGCCGAGATGGGCCCCGATGCTGTAGCGCCCGGGGGAGCTGGGCCACTGGGCCCCCCCGGGCATGAGAAAGTCATGCCTTGGCTCCGCTGGCTTTCGGCCCAGCGGCGGCTTTCGCCTCCTCCCGCAGCTTGCGGGCGTTCTTCTTGATCTGACTGATGCGCTCGAGCTCCTTGCCGACCACGTCACGCAGGGCGGGGCACGCCATGCTGCTTGGGCGACTCGACGGACCCGTGCCGCCCATGAAAGCGGAGACCTCCTCCACCGGCAGCTTCAGCTGCCCGGCATCCTGCTCCCGTTGCTTCTCGTCCCAGAAGTGCTCGATCAGCTGCATCTTCCTCTGAAGACGCTCCGCGCCGAGGAGGTTCGTCACGTTCACCTCGTCGTGCGTGGCGAGGTCCTCCAGCACGGTGGAGAGCGTGTGGTGCTCCGAGACGCCCCAGTCCGAGGAGGTGAGCCTCTTGCGGGACTTCCAGCTCTCGTGGTGCTGGATGGGCCCGCCCTCCCGCAGCAGCCACGCCACGCACCAGCCCGCGGACCTCGGCTGCAAGGTGAAGCTGGGGTCAACCACTTCCGCCGCCGACTCGGTCACTGCGAGCCAGCTCCGTGCCAGGCGAACGCCCGGCGTGCGCGCCAAGATCCTCGCGTCGGCCCCCCGCCACTTGTCGATGAAATCACCTCGCCGCCTGTCCTCCAGGAGGAACGCCATGGCGGAGACACCTCCGACGAGGTTGATGGTCGCTCTTCGGCCCGCTCGCGCGGCCAAGATCGTGCCACCGATCGGGCCGACCTGCACCACCGAGCCGTAGGCGAGGCCGCCTGCATCCTCGGCGAGCACCCATGACCAGCCCACTGGCGCCTTGCCGTTCGGCCCGAGGGGGGCGCCGCCGTCGTCCTTCCAGGAGGGTCCAGGAGGCGCTCCGACGGCCGGGGGGGCGCCCGGCGCGATGGGCACGCCGGCCGCGGGGTCTGGCACCACTGCGGCGAGCGGTCCGTCGGCGCGGGCGGCCCGGCAGCGGCCAACGCGGCAGCGGCGACCCCGGCCGCGGGCGGTGCGGCGGCAGCCCCCCCTGGAGGCGGCACGGGCACGACGATGGCGGCCGGCGCGGGCGCGGGCGCCACGAACCCCGGCAGCAGGCCGCCCGCCATCGGCACCAGGGTGCCCCCAGGCGGCACGGGCACCCCTGGATGGCGGCGGCCGAACTCGGCGTCGGCCTCCGCGACGGCGGCCGCCAGCCAGGCCGCCTCGCGCGCCGCCGAGGGGGCCTGGCGGAACCTGTGCGTCGCGCAAGGGTCGATCCCCGGCGGCGGCGGCCACCTCGTAGCCGAGAACCGCACCGCCGAGATGTCGGGCCCCGCCGTCAGCAAGGTCTCGGCATAGACCATGTCATCTGGGGTCACGATGATCACGTCACTCGTGAGCGCCAGCTGGCCTGCCACCCTCCTCTGGTTGAACAGCGGCGCGCCGACCACGTTGTAGAGGACCCACGCCCACGCCTCCGACATGAGGCCCAGCGGCGAGCGCAGCCAGCGGCGGCTGTGTCCCTGACGCGCTGGCGACCGTCACGGGTCGGCCGCGGCCCTCCGCAACACCCCCGTGCGGCGGCCAGAGCCGGAGCGCCGTGAAGGTGCCGAGGGCCCCGAGCGACGCGCCAGCCAGCGCGGCCCCTCCGCAGGCGAGTGCGACAGTGCCCGTGGTCGCGCCCACGGAGGCACCAGGGCAGGGCGGGCAGGCTGGGCAGCTGCAGCCCGGGCACGCTGGGCACGGCGGGAGCTCCACCGCCGGGCAGCGCGCGACCCAGGCCTGGAGCGCGGGGACGCCCCAGCGGTCGATGAGCCCCGCCCAGCCCGCGGGAAGCCCCAGGAAGGCCCCGGCCATGCGCCGCGGCCAAGCCGCGGCCCACCAGCTCGACAGCCGAAGGCTATTGACAAAAGACAACGCATTCAGCATTCGGCCTCTCCCTTCTCCTCTGAAGGCATTCATCTTCAATAGAAAAGTCCATCATCATCATCATCATCATCATCATCATCATCATCATCATCAGCATCATCATCATCATCATCATCATCATCATCATCATCATCATCATCATCATCATCATCATCATCATCATCATCATCATCATCATCATATTCACCATCACCATCGCTTCCAGCATCATCGTCGTCGACATGATCATCATCACCACCACCATCCTCGTCATTATCATCATCCTCGCCACCGCCGCCGTCGCCGCCGTCGTCGTCGTCCTCCTCCTCCTCCTCGTCATCGCTATCGTCCCGCGTGCGGACGGGCTTGTTTCTGTCGCGGGTCCACGGCGGCAGGGGAGCCGCCCCGGCGAGAGAAAAAGCGCGCCTGTCCCGAGTCAAGGGACGCGCGCAGGGATGCGCATACGTGCTGCTGAGCGCCTGCGGATGAAGCGGCGGGGCGCCCAACACCAATCACCCTCCCCGGTGAGGAAGCAGCTCATAGGACCCTGCGCCAGGCCCAGTACCAGGAGGTTCGTGCCTCCCGCCTGTGCCTCTCTGGTCTGCGTGTGTGTTCGCTCTGCCTCCAGCCAAAATGGTCTGGGAGACTCTCAAAACTGAACTGGCGCACCTATATAAGAGAAACCTGACACTGGGCACCATGTCTCCTAAAAACATCTGCCATGGAGGATTGATGCAGTCACTGCAAGCGTGGCCTCCAGACGGCCCAAGAGGTTTCCAAGACGCCCCAAGAGACCTCCAAGAACACTCCCAAGACGGCCCCAAGAGGCAAACATCATTGGTTTTCATCTGGTCTTTGATAGATGTTGGGATTCTCGCCTTTTCGGTTTCCCCACACTCCAAGACGGCCCCAGAGGCCCCCAAGATCGTCCCAAGATAGCCCAAGAGGCCTCCAGGAGGGCCCCCAAACGACCCAAGAGGGTCCCAAGAAGGCTCAAGAGGCCTCCAAGACTGCCCAGGAGGCCCCTGACACGGCTCCAAGAGTAGTTGAGTGGCTCGCTCTTCAGATCCCGCCCTTAGGAGCCAACTAATATGCACTCTTGCACATGCCGCGTGACGAGTCTAAAGCCTGCTCCGCTGTCCCTGCCATGCCACTGATCCCGCCTCCTCTCGCCCCCTCCCCTACCCCCTCTGGACTTAGCCATGGTCCTCCCTTGGCCTCCACCTCACCCCCTCTCAGGGCTGAACCTAAACAGTGTTTTTCGTCTTCGTTTTGTTTTCGTTTTCCCTCGTTTTGCTTTCCATCCACCTCTACCGCAAAACGAAGTCGAAACGAAAACGGCCCACGAAGTCGCCAAAACACCGTTTAGGCCCAGCCCTGGCTCGACATCACCCCCTCTCTCCTACCCCCTATCCCGCCTCAGCCGTGGTTCTCCCCTGACCTCCATCTCCCCATCCCCCGTCAGGGGCGCACTAAGCCGGATCAGCACAAACCTGGTCCGCCAAGGCCCCTGCACCGAAGCCAGGCGGGCCGCTTCGCAGCTCCCAAACCTTGGTCGGCGGAGGGAGGGAACGAGGAATCGGCCCCGCGTGGCCCTCAAACCCGGGTCAGCCAGAGGGGATTGGCTGACCCCCGTTGGCGCTGACCCCCGCTACGTGAGCCCCGACCCCCGATCCCCCCCCCGTTGCCGCGCGTGCTGCTGGGGTCCCGCAGCGCCGAGGACCGCACAGCGCCGATAGTGCGACAGGCCACGTCATCAGTTCCAATGTCGGACTGAGAGTGGCACTGTCCTCTGAGACCAGCCTGGATTCGAGCATCTCTCGCCGATGCATCACAGAATCCGTGCCCTGGCTTGTCTCAGGGAAGAGGGAGCAAGAGGAAGACGAGGAGCAGGAGGAAGAGGAAGAGGAGGATCAGGAGCGACCCAGCCACGCGCGAGGAAATAGATGAAGGACGAATCGATGAAACAGATGAAGGAACGGGTGGAGGACGAAGACGACGGATGAGGAGGGTAGATGATCCAGCGTGCCTGGCACAGGCAAGGCATTGCCGATGGGCCATACAGCCAGGGCATCCTTTCTGATCCGAATTTGCAGAGGAAGCCTGAAGGAGAGAGAAAGCTGGGGAGGCCACAGTGCCTCGTCCAACACGTAAGGCGCACTGGTGGCGACCGGCAAAATGAATCCAAATAGTGTCCTCTAATGCCATGGAAACCACACGCAGTGTACGTAAGCCTGGCGTGTTCGCACTAATGGCGACATAAAAAGAGAACGCACCCCCAGACAGCCGTCGATGTGCTTGCTTCAATCCGCGGCTCCAGAACTCCCGCACGCTTCACTGGGGGTAGCTCTTGATACCGGACCTGCGACGAAGACATGACGAGGATAAATTCGGGTAAAGATAAATTAGAAATCTCTGAGATCTGGCACATCTGGAACATGTCTCGGGGGTCGTGGCCTTCTCAGAGCGTTCCGGAACGCGCTGAGAGCGTTCCCGAACGCTCTGGAACGAATTTATCCTCGTCCTGGCCCTATTCGAGGATCATGGCCCCAGGGCTCCAACAGAAGCCGCCAGAGGCCGAAGCCGAGAAAGAGCGCCAGCAGTATCAGAGTCAACGCTTCGGAGGTCTGAGCCGCAAGAATCTCGCCTCCCTGCTCGGACAGTGACCGGCTCGGCGCCGAGGCCGTTGCGGGCAAGAGTTGTGCCCAAGTTCACGACGTCTTGGACTGTCGGGGGAGGGGTTGCGAAGACCCAAGGCGGTGCGGATATGGGCAAAAATGGAGCCTCGCTCAGAGGCCAGACTTTTGCCCGCATCCCATGACGCCTCGGGATTCTGGGGAACGGGAGCCCGAACACCCGAGACGCAGTGGATATGGACGTGAGTCTTGCCCGCAATTGAGCAAGGACGGACCGTCCTTGCGTTCCCACAGGCCTACCACGAAATATTTTGAGAACCACACAAAACAAATACAATGTTCTTAGAACGTGCAGCCGATGTGATCAAACAAGACGACCTCAACCAGACCTATTCTAAGACTACTTCGTGCAAGCCACACACAATTTTTAGAACATTCTTCGGTGGGGCTAAAAGAAGGCCAGGACGCTTCGCCACTGCTAAACGCAAGCCGTTGCAGATCAGGGCCACGCCCTTCCACCAACGGGGCGCGCAAGCCTAAATTCAGGCGTGGCACACAAGGAGCGCCAACAGCCGCGCGCGCCGAGCGCGCGCCCGAGGCCCAGGCGACGGGCCTGACCGTTCGGGTGCTGCCAGGGCTACCCCCACTTTCTTCTGGCTGCGACCAAGCCACGACGCGATGTTTTTGCCAGTTCTCGGCTGCCGGGGAGATTCATTGGGTCCCAAGACCACCACAAAACTACTCGGGATGAAAAGCCGCTCCCAGGAAAGGGGCACAGACCTCCAGGAAGCCACGTTGTGGAAAAGTCACGACGTCATAGTTCTGGGAATCCCTAGCCCAAAAAAATCCCCCCGAGAAGTCCCTGCAGGCCCCAATGGCCTCCAGAGCGCTCCCCGAGAGGCCCTGAGAGCACCCCAAGCTCCAGGGTGGCGCGAAAGGCTGGGGACAACCCGGGCAGGGATGACATTTGACACCCCCCCGCATGTGGGCTCGTCGGCCCCACCCACCACTCAAGAGTGACGAACACAATCCACATGCAAGCCCTCGCGGTATGTATGGACACCGGGGCGCAATCCCATGTACGCGCGATCCTGTAGGCACGTTCCGCGCGGGGCATCCGCGCAAGGCCACTCCGTATTCATACAGGGGCTGCGACCGAGAAGTGCAGACCGCCAGGGGCCGTGGATATGGATGCTTGTTTCCCGCCTCGGGACATGTCCACCACCCACAACAAACGCAAATCAATTTCTATCCGACCCCCTCCCCCCAACATTTCGGTGCTGATGGACGCGCGCAGCGCGGCCAGCGGGGTCAACAGAACAACTGCGGTCGCCAGCATCGGTGTCAACATTGAAATGTGAGGCCCGGGGGCGTCGCCATGTAGTGGAAAAAACTTGCGTTTGACTTCGAGGAGGGATGTCGGCCTCACTCTCCGCGCATCCTTCTCCTCCGCCCTCCTCCGTCATGGATAAACAGAGCTTGCCAAGTGCTGCGCCACAGTCCAGCAACACCACCATCCATCCCACCTCCTCCCTCCACATCACCATGATATCCTGTATCCGCCCGCTGGCTGGCATCGACAGCAGCGTCCGAGCAACTGTCCCGAACAAAATCAACATCATCACGAGGTCCAAAAGCACGGCGGGGAAGCAGCATGAAAGGCAGGACGAAGTGAAACTGATCAACATAAAATCAACACCAAACATCACAGGGCCAAGCCAAGCCAGTCGAAGCAAGGAAGTACCAAATACGACCAATGCCAGGGAATGGCAACTCCACCAAAGAGCTAGCAAGGCAAGACAATGCAAGAGATTGCTCGCGATGGCGAGGCAGTGTGACTGGGTAGAGCAAGGCAAGTCAAGGCAGGATGGAATAAAGTTCGCCAGCGCAAATACCATAGCGACAGGGCCAGGCCAAACGGAGCAACATCATGCAAGATCTGGTCCATGACAATGCATGGCAACTCGGGAAATGAGCAAACAAGGCAAGACAAGACGAGAGATCGCAAGCGATGGCGAGGCAGCGTGGCTGGGAAGAGCAAGGCAGGGCAAAGCAATGCATTGCCAGGACAGGCAAGGCCATTCAACGCACGATACGGCATAGCGGCATGGCAGTGCAAGGCAAGGCAAAACATTACAAAACATAATATGAGAACCTAATGCAAGTCGACACGAGGAAGACTACGGCAATGTAACGCAATCGATAACAACACAAAGCGGGGAGAGACCGACAGGAACCGAACTATAGCAAGGCAAGGCAAAACAAAACAGAACAACACAACGTAGCACAAGGCACGGCACGATTGCCTGGCTGAATAAACGAGAGGGGACATCCTCGTCGTCCTCCTACCCCTCCTCCTTCTCTTCGTCGTCCTAACCCTCCTCATTCCCTACCTCTTCATCCTTCCCTTTCCAAAAGGCCACCCATCCAAACACACCGGCTGGCCCTGGGCAAAGCCTCACGGGGGAGCGCCCCCGACGTCGGGCGAGCGGAAGGGCGGGGGGACGACGACATGATTGCTCATGCGGGCCTGCACCCACTAATCATGAGGCCCATCATCCACCTCCGCCCCCTATCCTTGACTCGACTGGAATACTGCTCGATCTCGTGTCACGAAAACGCTTCCCGGAGAGGAGTACAGGGATGTATGTGGGGACTCTGGCGTAGCGTCAGCTAGCGGTGAGACTACGACAAATCAATCAACTCAAGTCACGCTTTCCAGTTTCGTGGAGCATGCAAGTAAATGCGTAAAGTCACGATTGACCAATGTTGAGCGAGCTGCTGCAAGGAAGGCCTAGTGTGAACTCGATGTGGGCTCACGAAGAGGAAGATGCTTGTTTGGGCCAGCTGCTGGAAGCGTTGCCAGTTGTAAGGAGGGGAACCCTGACCAGACCCAGGAGGAGGGGCGATCGAGGCTTGGTTAGGACTTTTCCTCGAGGGCAAATTCCCAAACCAACCATGAGGAACTCCCTCCTTTTTGGTCTGGTCAGGGTTCTCTGCCCCGAACGCTTACTAGGGACGCAGGCAGTCGACTGCGCTCCTGAGCGAGGGGCAATCTTGAAAAGGCTCGGCGAGACTGCGGAGCCTCCGCAGCTCCAGAGACAAAGGCACAAAGATCACTATTGCTTTAAAGTTGCAGGAAGATCGACAAGACACTTGATACTGAAAACTGGCATCCGCTCTCACTGCAGTACCGGAGACGGCCGCAGATGTCCTGAAGTGGCGCTGACAAGGGGTTGTTTTTTTGACAGCGCCATGGGCAGAATGTGATTTAGGCCTGCTCCGACTGCCGAACGATCACCACCACCATTGCCGACCATGGGGAATGGTGGTCCCACTTCCCACAAAAACCCTCAAGCAACAAAACATTCGAATCGATCAAATCGTAAATGCATGTCACCTGCCGTGTGGCAAAGCCCGGGCACACGTCGGCTGCCGCAACGTGGCAGCGCATTCGTCGACAACTTTCTCCTCTGCAACCTCGGGCGACAGAGCATCGATGCGAGGTCGCACAGTACGTTCACAAAACACTATCGCCCAGCATTCGTGCCTTTGCGATCATGGTCAGCTAAAGGAGCGAGCTCAGGGGAGAAGGCGGGGACCATAAGGAAACAGGTGAGTAGGCGGAGGACGGAGCGGGAAAGAGGGAGAGAAGGCTGGAGGACCAGCACGGGAAGGAACACGAGGGAACAATGGAGAAGCCGGATGAGGCAGGAAAACATGGAAGACATGAGTGGGACGCACAGAGACATACTATTACTATATGTCTGCCTTGGAGGCGCGCGTCCGACCCGAACATATAGTATACCCATCTTGTAGTATATCGTTTCCCGAACGGTGTGGCCAGAATACGCCCGCCACGACGCATATACTATAAGATTTCTCGGTGCGCGCGTCGCCCACGGGGGGGCGACGCACACATAGTATAAACAGGTTGGGGTGACGCCGAATTAAGGGCGAATGTTGATTGAATGCCAGACGTCGCAATTGATCAAGAATCTTCCAAAAACGTCACACATGGTAGCTCGCTCAGAGTACGGCTTTCAATGTTGGTTACGAAGGTCAGGTCGCGAACGTCCGCGTCGCAATACTAATGCAGCTCGGATGTCAGAAGAAGGGCTCTGATCTCACGTGCCGACAACGCTTCATGAATACCTCGGCTGCCGCTGCGGGCCAGCATCATTATCATCGCGTTGCTGGGGGCTTTAGGAGCAAAGACTGCAAAGCTTGGGGCTGTAGCGAACGTCCGGATTCACGTCACATAGAAACATCGAGCAACGCACGACACTTAAACTCAACAGCTCTTGCCAACCAACGCATCCGAACCAGCGTGGCGTCTCACATGCGCCATGCCTGTGTCATCGCTCCACAAAGAAGGGCGCCGAACATTGTATGGTTGTGTTTGAAGACTGGAGAGCCCTGAAAATGCGACTTGGCAGTGGCAACTGATAGCCTGCCTATGCAATTACACGTGGAAGCCTTAAGGACCGCTGATCGCACACATTCAGTTACACGGATGCAGCCCGTTCTGACGCAACACCAGTAACACTGCGCGACCTCAATTCGCGGTGTGGCTCCTTCCGACGCGATTCACACAATTTCTGAACAATGCCAACCAATGTAATGCAACGCGTTGCTTGCCATTGTTGTGCATCGAGTAACGTCGTTTGCAACTGATTGGCCTAGATAAGCGCTGCTCGGCATTGATTGCAACCGTTCTCTGGCATTGCTAAGCATTTCTTGGCGCTGGTTTGCATTGATTGGCGTTTTTTGGCATCGCACGATTTTGATTCGCATTGCTTGGCGTTGCTTGGCACCGCTTAACTATAATTTACATGAATTGGCGTTGCTTGGCTCCGCTTGGCATCGTTGCTTGGCATTACGTGGTCATGGCTTCGCAGTGCTTCGCATGACTCAGCATTGCTTGCGAATGGTTTCGCATTGCTTGGCATTGCTAGGAATCGTTGCTTGGCATTGCTTGGAACTGATTGCGGCTACTCGGCTGTAATCGGCAACAACTACAATTGCGCCCGAGAAGCGGCCAGCCTGCGTATAATATTCCGTTGTCGTAGAGAGGCTCGACGAAAGGCGAAGGCTGCCCGACCGAGGAGGCGGCGGCGCGAGAGGCGACAGCAGCGCGCTGACAGACGCGCGGAGGCTGATTGGAACCACCCGAACCCGATGTGCCCCGCAGGGATCGCAAACGACGCAACAAAACAAAACGCAGACCGAGCAACTGGCCATATCTGACATTGCGACGAACTTCGAGGATTCCAGCGCTAAGGCTAAAGCAGAAGCGAATTTCTTCGGACATTCGGCTGCGATGGCTGTCCAGTTGTGGCCGCCTGGGGCGGCCCCTGAGAGAACAACTCGATACTTCTGCGACGTTGAACAGATACGCCCTCGACCCTAGCACTTTTTGGCCACGCAGTCGCGACCCGAGACGCGCCGCCTGGCGACGCGAGTAGCCCTGCGCCTTCGGGCGCCAAAATAACACGGGTGGCCCACGGCAGACGCGCGCGACGGGTCAGACACGAAGCCAGAGAGACGAGGGGCAGGCCGCGCCATGGAGGCGCTGGACGCCTGTGGGTTCTCTGGCAGACATGGGGGCGCTGAGACTTGCAGAGCGAGCTCGTTCGGCAACTCAAGCTGAGAATGTCAATGCAGAGCTGGGGCGGCACTAGCTGCGGGCCAAAGAAGCTGAAAAGGACCACGGGCGACCCGGAAGGCCGGATGGGGCAGCGAGTGGCGCGCGACCAGGTCGCGCGCGGGGAGCCAGAGGCCACGCTGGCCGCGATGCCGGCCTTCAGCCGCCCAGAGATGAGCAGCTCGAAACGGCGTCCGAAGTGGTTTTCGTTGGCGCCGGCGGAGACGTCGAGCGCGACTCGGGCGCGCCCGCGCGGCCGCTGCCCGCGAATAACTCCAGGAGTGCCCCGCGCCGCCGTCGCGTGGCGAGGCGGGGCCGGGAGGGCCGCGCAGGCTGGCGAATCTCCGCGCGGCGCTGCCGCTCGGGCGCGGGCGCGGCCGCGGGGGGGCCGCCGCCCCGGCAGCGCCCGGGGCGCCCCGCGTCGAAGCCGCGGTCGAGGATCCTCGCGAAGCGCAGCCGCGGAGCGCAGCGGGCCAGCTCTTAAGCTGCGACCCCTTGCCGGGGATCTCGCCGGCGATGAACGCGAGGTTCAGACTCGCCGCGGCCGCCCCGTCGAGCTCCGCCGCGGTGCTCCAGCCCAGGAAGCGGGCCGAGCAGCGGGCCGCGAAGCCGCCCGGCAGCGACTTGCAGGCCGCCAGCGTCGCCGGGCGGACCGTCGCCAGCTCGGGTGGCCCAGCGCGCCGCTGGGCGCTAGGTTCGCGACAGGCCCCGCGGCCAGATGCGCCCGCTGGCGGACGGCGTCGGTCGGCCCAGGCGCCGGCGCGAGGCCGCGGCCCGAGGCGACGAGCCCCGCGACGCTTCGAGCCGCCCAGGGCCGCTCCCCGCGACCGGGGGGGCCCGCGGGGTCGCGCCCCGACGGGGCCCATCGACGCCGACGCCGAGGGCCGGAGGCGCGCGACAGCATTGCGATCTTGAGCAGCAGCGCCACCTGCAACAGCGAGGCGGCGCGGCCCTTCGACGCGGCGAGGCGGAGCGGCGGGTCGGCGTCAGCAGGCGGCGCCCGCAACTGGCGCCCGAGCGCAGCGGGTGGCGGCAGTGCAAAAGCACCGCCTCGGCTTCCAGAACTATGGCGTCAGCCCCCAGCTCGACGGCGGCAGCGATGGCCCCGCCCCAGCGGCGCGGAGCTAGCAGCGATCGAGGAATCTCTTCGAACGCAGCGGCGGGCGCCCCCAAGAACGACGCGCTCCTGCCATTGCGGGGAGACGCGACTGGACAGCGATGGGGAGGGGCATCTCTGCGGCGCGGCCCCGCCCAGCGCGATCGCTCTCGCGGGGCATGTCGAAACCCTCGCTACGGCGGCGCCGCCGCTCGCCAACGCGCCCGGCGCGCGCGACATCAGGGCGCGGCGCCCGACGGCGGCAAACGCCTTGCCCGAACTCGCCCGCGCCCGAGCGGGCGACGCGGCTGCTCTGCGGGGCCGACAGGTCGCGCGCCGCCCGCGCTTGGATGGCCGCGGCAGCTGCTACGTGGTTAGCGCGGATACTCAGGGGGTAGAAGGCTTAGTATGTACGTACAAGTGAGCTGTAAGTCGGTTATAAAAGTTGTAAGTAGGATGTTCGTTATAAGTGAGCTGTAACGGTTTATATATTAGTTATAGTTGTATATGGGATGTTAGTTATAAGTGTTTAGGTAGTAGTGCTATAAGTGTTATAAGTCGGCTGTAAGTCGGTTACAAGCGTGCTGTAAATGTCGGTTATAAGTCGGTTATACTCACGGGTTAGAAGGCTGAGTATGCACGTACAAGTGTTGTATAACCAGCTACTACTGGTTAGTAGGAGATACTAGCCACTTATAGCTGGACGCTAACCTTGCTAAGTCTCGAGTAGTAGTTAGCTCGCTAAGTCCCCTTCTCTAGCTTCCACTTACTAACCGCGTAATAGTCACTTAACTGCCACTCAGTAACCATTTAGCAACCACTTAGTAAGCACTTAGTAACCGTTTAGTAAGTCCGCAAGCTAGCTTACTTACTAAATGCTTAGCGGACTTACAAAATGGTTAGCGGCCCGCGGCAAAGTATTGAGTAATGGTAAAGGTTATTGTACATATTCCTTGCCGCCCCCCTCCTCCGCCCAGAGGAGGAGGAGGGGGGGGTGGGGGGGGGGCGGGGGGCGAAGGAGGGGGGGGGGAGAAGGTGCAGGAGGAGGAGGGGAAGGAGGATGAGAAGGAGGAGACGGAGGAGGAGGGAAAGGAGGAGGCGGAGAAGGAGGAGAAGGAGGAGGAAGAGGAGGGAAAGGCGGAGAATAAGGAGGGGGAAAAGGAAGAGAAAGTAGGCGGCGGAGTACGGAGCGGGCGCGCCTCAGCGAAGCAGGAACCTCGCAGCGCCAGCGCCGCGTCTGGAGGCAGGCGCCAATGTTGCAGCATGGCCACCGCCACCCGCCCCTCCGCTGCGTCTTGCAGCGGCATTGCTGCAGGGGAGGGCGGGGGCGGCGGGGGGGCCGCCGCCTCGTCGTTGGCGGCGTAGTCCGCCACCGCCCACTGGTCCACGACCCAGATGGGCCGCAGACCAGGGCGGCGGACGGACCCGCTGGAAGCGAGGCCCGGGGTCCATCGCTCGGGGATGTCGAGGA